GAGAAGTCATTTTAAAAATCTTTTTCTTAAACCCTGACACAATGAAGAAAAAGTAGAATCTATGTTTTGGAGAAATGCATACTTTAAGTAAAGATTAACCTTGCTGATTTTGTCTTTTCAGAAACACAGACTTCCTGATGTCAGGTATCAGAGGTATCTCATAGTGGCAATCAAGCTTGCCTAGAGTAAAAGGAGTTTATCAAGGCCTAAGACATCATGCATTGGGCAAAGATTGTACAAGTCACGAAACTTTTAATTACAAAAGTTATGCAGATCACAGGACTTGTGACCGCTCAGAGGGGGAGCAGGTGGGGATTCAATTGTCCAGTAGATTGGGTGCTGTCTACAGGGAAGTCAAGGATCCCCCGAAGCTACCCATTGAGAATGCACAGGAGATAAAGGGAAGTACACCCTCCGTTAGCTCTAAGGAATGCTGTTTGGGAATATACAGGAGCACTAGAATCCTTGTCATGCCTTTCTCTAGGGGCTGTGATAATATAAACAGACATTAGCGGGTCTCTGTGTCACAGGATCTCCAAGACATTTACAGATGGTCAATTAGGAAGTCACGGCAGTCACATCTACCTGATTGCGACATCTCCAGGGGAAAGGATTTAAGCCAGGGCTCGGAGAAGCTATGGTGCCACACTCTATCTAGAGTGTAGGCCCGCTACAGGGCCACACTCATCAAGAGTGTAGGCATGCTATGGGGCCACACTCACCTAGAGTATAGGTTCGCTTCCTGTCTGTGGGAAGTGAACCTTTCTTAAATAAATCTTTTATTCTTTCACCTCTTTGAGTGTTGCAATTCTTTGCATTACTTGGATCTCTGGTTTGCTGGCACGAATCTCCGGCATGCTGGCTCTGGCAGTGCTGTGCCCCTCTCCATCCATGCCTCCACCCTCACCCTATGTACCCTAACAGTTATTATTTCTTAAAGGGCCCAGGTGTTTCCTAGCACAGCTCAATCTACTGTACTTTGGCTGGAGCCTTTTTTAATATCTGATACAAGCTATTCATCTGCCCCAGATCTTGATACATTTCCTAATGTATCAGAAGCTTAGGCTCAATTAAAACATTTTAAAGCAAAATGGGAACTGAAAAAAAGAAATGTTATTTATTTTTATTTTTTGTTTGAGTCAGAGTCTTACTCTGTCACCCAGGCTAGAGTTCAGTGGCATGCTCATGGTCACCCCAACATCGACCTGGTAGCCTCAGGGGATCCTTTCGCCTCAGCCTTCCAAGTAGCTGGAACTACAGGCATGTGCTACCACATTGGCTAATTTTTTGATTTATTATAGAGACAAGGTCTCACCAAGTTGCCCAGCCTGGGTTTAGGCAGTTCCCTTGCCTTGGCCTCCCAAAGTGCTGGGATTATAGGCTTGAGCCACTGAGCCTGGCCAGAAATAAGTTAGTTTATAAGGAAATGAGAATATTTCTGTTTATTTCATGAAACTGGGAAAGTATGGTGGGTTTCTCAGTGTAGATGTGTGATGCCTAACAACTCTTTCAAAAATAAGATTCCAAGCAAACTCTTCTAAGAAAATAACAGCCACAGCTTAGGGGTATCAATTCAATCAAAACCAAAACAACCAACCCTTGTCCCCAAATTAAATTAAGTCAGTGAAGACAGCTCATTCTAAGGGAAGTTTGCTATTTTAAGTAAAAGTGAACATTTTTCTAACAGGCTAAGATAAAATTTTCTTTGTTCTCTGTAGATTGTATAAAACCCTGAACCGCTGCATTTACCAGAATTTCTAATTATTTAATGTCAGTCAGGGTTTTAGAGAATTTCTAAGGCATGGAAAGAGCCGTGATTTTGGCTCACCATGAAGAATTGTTTGTATTCAAAGCAACCTGGGATATAAACAACTGAAATTCATAAAGTTAGGAACACTCCTGGTGTTAAAACAGCTTAATATTCGGCCAAAATAGATGTGTTTTTGTACCATGATTTGTGAAAATTATGAGAGTTGCTCTGAAACCAAGGGAGGTCCTCTTGATGATGACCTATTGAGAAATAGGTGAGAGAGCTCATTCATGCTTGTGATCCTTCCTTGGTGACTAAAGCCCCTCTTCCTGTCTCTGCCCATCTGTTCCCTCTGAACTGCAGACATGGCTGTCTACTCTAACCTGCCTATCAGATTTGTTTTTGTGGGAGCTTCTAGCCCTGTGAAAAGAATTGATACTAAGCTTTCTCAGAGAATTACTTCCTCTGATGCTGTCTTTTATACACAATAATACAATTTCATTCATGTCTTCAACAAATATGTAACAATTAATCAATGTTCTAGAAGTCGGGGATAGAGCTGTGAACAAAATACACAAAATGATCAATAACTCTCATATCTCCTAGTCAGGCAATGAAGCAGCCTTGCTCAGGGGATGCTGCTTATGAAGCAGAGGATGCTACACAACAAGTACCTATTAGCACTCACATGAGACAAATTCTGGTGGATGCAATAAAAGCGAAGTGGACCCTACATGATACACCAAGCCAATTAAACTTAAGTTAGTGAAAAACAACAATTCACCTTTTCAAAAGCATTACTGTTATAAAACCTGTTTTGGAAGACATCTGTACCAAGTAAGGTACCCTTCCACCTTTCTGATAGTCACAGGTTAATGAGCTTGACAGACAATTTAACATGCTTGACATATTAGCATGTGAGTCTGATTATGAAGAGCCAAGGGACCCGGAATGCAAACTCCATGCTCCTTGAGGTGACAATTTGATGACAGCAAGACTTAATGTCTATAGAGCTTGGTCTAACTTCATGTCAGCAAATGAAAATGTTGGCTCTTGTGGGTTACATTTTCAGAAAAGGGGCATCTCAGTTGATTCAAAAGCAAGGTTCTAGCAGTGGCAACCTTTCCATGGCCTTGCAGCCCCCACCCCCTGCCCCACAGACTCTTCCTTCAGAGTCAAGGGCTCAAGTAGAGGTGCTGAGCGCTAGAAGCAGGAGCTGAGGTGTTGGGAAATTTAATTAGCATGTGTGAAACAAAACAGGTCTATGGCTGAAAGCCACTCCAGAAGTGTGAAGAATAATGATTGCTTTTTGAGAATTTCCATTTCCCAAGAATGAACAAGCCTGGGGAAAGATGAGCCACTTAGTTTTCTGTTTTTGTTTTTGTTTTTTTTTTGCTGGTAAGTCTTCCACAGTTTGTTAGCAAACTTTTACCTTTACCAAAAGAAAATTTCTCTTGGTATAGTCATCTTCCCAGAATAAGAATTTGCTTGACCATGAAGAAAATTAGTACATGGATCTGTTGTGAGCCATCTTTAGAATCAAAAGCCACATTTGGTAACAAAAATATTGTAACTCAGAAAGAGACTTTTTTAAGGCTTCCATGAAATCCTGAGCAAGTTAACAAGCAAGCATAGAACAAAGGCTGGAAATGAACTTGAGGTCCTGTCCTCTGAGAGCTCACTGTCTTGGGTAGGGGAAGGTGCTATGGAATTCTCTATAAAGACAGATAAAATAACCTCAACATTAAGCAAATTGTAGCAAATACTATAACAGATTAATCCCAGTTAGGAAGTCTAGAGAAGGCTTTTTATAGGAGAGATTTGGACTGCACCTTGAAAGATGAATAGGACTTTTGGAAATGAAGATGGTGAAGAGAACATTTGAGGCAGAAGAAAGTAGACGAACAAAGGTCTATAAATGGGTCTGGGGAGAGTAAACAGAAATGTGAAAGGTATGGAGGCTAGTGTGGGAAAGACAAGATGTGGAAAAGCAGAGATGCCAAATCCTCTCCAAGTGAGGATTTGTTGATTTTAATTAACAACTGATCTCGATTAAGGTTTGGAACTTGACTCCGAAGGTAGATGGGGGAGTGTTGTAGGGGAAAACCAAGGGTGTGTGTTGAACAGAAGAATCCCATCGTCTGGGGTGAGCCTCAGAGAAACGGCTGGTAAAAGGATGTAGGATGAACTGAGGAGAGGGTTAGGAGTCAACTACCAGGTTCAAGTGAGAGATGAGAAAGCCAGGACTCAGCAGTAAAGTATAAAAACAATCCCAAGGTGAGGAAGGGACAGCCGTGAAACACTACAGACACAGATCTGTATCCACAATTTGTGCATTCAGATGATTTTAAGTGTCAAGCCTGAGGAGGAAACAGGTTGATAAGATGGAAACAAAGGAGAGGAATTATGAGAATAAAAGGGACCAGAGCTACAATGAATAAGAATTACTACAGATGGATTCAGCACATCCAACAGTAAAAAGTATATTCAAAAATTTTAAAAAAATAATTGATACTTCCTATTTTGAACTACATGCTACCTACAAAAGTCACTTTAAATATCTAAAGGTGGTACTTGAGGGGAGAGTCAGAGGATCCTGCATAACTTAGGATCTGACATTAACTTAGGAGGAAACTAAGCCAAAGGAAACGTCTGGAAATATATTACTATCAAATTGTTTTTATGTCCCCTTTTTCATACCAGGGCATATGGATCCTCTCCACTCTTTTTAACAACCACATGCTCTGTTATATATGTGCCACAACTTAAGTTATCAATCCCCTTGTGAAGGGCAGTAGGTGGTAGGAAGAAAAATGTACTGGTGTTGCCTAACCGCAAGAACACGCAGGAAAAAGCTGATGCTTCACGTCACCCTGTGGTTCATTTCCTGCCTTGTGCTTTTTCCCCCCTCAAATGCTGCCTGCCGGAAGAGATAAAGGGACATAGAAAGCAGCTGTCCACCCTGGCATGTTCCTCTTTTTTTCTCACAGCAGGCACATGCTATTCCAACCAGGCAGACTTCTAAGTGTATAAATTGGCATTTCTTCTCTGATGTTTGTTTGGCACTTAAATAGAATCACAAACAAAAAGGGCCACCATGACCTAGCCTTTGTTAGGAGTGCCAAAGTTAGAGGCAGGGCTAGGGCAGGCCTCCCACAGTTACAGCAACTAGAAAAAAAAAAGTTGCCTTATGGCCAGATCATAAAATAACCCAGTTATCAGCATCTATTCACATTTAGATGCAACATACCTCAAACTCCAGATAGTGGTCTTTCAGCTTGTACTCATCGACATCCTTGGATTTGACCTTCTTGTCAGGAGGGTACGAACGGTGCTCAGCCAGCTCGGTGGTGATCTGTTTCAGCTTGCTTTCGTGAGACTTTAGCTGTTCCTCCTGCAGGAAATTATTATATTTAGTGTCCACAAAATAAGTCAGTAAAAAAGTATAGAGTACTTAAAAAAATCCCTTATGCTGAATGACTTTAATTCATGAAAGCAGCCCAATGGGCCCCTGTTACCACATCTTTCCGACTTTCTCACACCAGTGTTTGCATATTTCACATATTCCTTTCCAGGATGGTAACTGAGGCCAGACTTCCTAACTGGGCCTAATCAGTTTTAACTGCCCAAGTTGGGACCAGGCCTTAAGAAATCCCCTTACAGGCACATGATCAGCTGAGCAGGGAAGCACCCCGCCTAGAGTCACGCACCTTAACTTCTCCGTTTCATGCCCATTCAGCAACGCTGCCAGTTCCTCCATCTATCACAATGAAGGGAACATCTGTCTGCATATGTTGTTTTTTTCTTTCTGACACAGCAGTGCTAAGAAATAATTCTTCGCTGAAACCTATCAGATGATATTCTAAAAAATGCAACTATTTCTGCTTTTTTCTCTCCAAAGCAGCTGAGATTCCTAGTTCCTTCAATTTTATTGATCCAAAGTAGCCATTCAATTGAAACGTACCTATTTAGTGATTATTACCTGAATAGCATTATGATAGGTATCATGAAGCAAAGTAACATGGTTGCTCCTATGTCAAAGGATTTTGATGCTTGGAGCACTTTTTATATCATCTTAGCAATAAGCTACCTAAAAAGATATGCTACTGAACCTTCTAGCAACATTTATTTATTTAAATACAGCTATAGTTAATTTTTATGCTTTTATTTTTAAAATGTGGGATACAATTCAGGATTAGGCATATACATGGTCATTGTATAGATAAAGTGTGAGCACCCTTATTGATGTTATGTGCCCTCCCTCGCTGGCAGTGTCCCATTACTGCCGATCCCTTTCTTATAGTATTATGATAAATCTTCAGGGTCCACTTACGAGTGAGGACACGTGGTACTCAGATCTTTGTTTCTGTGATAAATCATTGAGTATTACAGACTCTAATTCCATCCAGGTCACCGCAAAGTTCTAACAACATTTTAAAAACATTCTTGAAACAAAGACATTGGAATTCTCTTGTGCTCCTGAAATTGTATGACTACTTACTGTTCCACATTCACATGCAAATTATCCAAAATCTTAAGTATAAATTTCACGTGTACAGTAAGATAAATGGATGAAAGCAAATAAAAAAGAACTGATTAAATTAGGTAATAAATATATTTTGTATAACACCAATATGATTTAAGAATATAACAATTTGCTGGGTGGAGTGGCTCGCGCCTCTAAATCCCTGCACATTGGGAGGCCAAGGTAGGAGGACTGCTTGAGCACAGGAGTTCGAGACCAGCCTGGGCAACATAGTGGGACCTTATCACTACAAATAAAATAAAATAAAAATTTTCACATAGAATAAGGGAAATAAATATAAAATGAACTTATGGATAATAAATTAAGATTACATAACATCATTATAAATTTTTTTAAAAATCCAGAAATTATGAGTTACATACATCATCTTAAAGTCAAACAAGGGGAAAAAAATTCCAAGTCTAAAACCATCAAAATAGAAGAAAACGATGAAAAGTAAAAAGCAGAGTGCATGAATGAATAGAAAAATGAACGAGAGAGGTAACGGGAAGATGTAGAGTGAACTGAAGATAATAAGATTCATTTTTATACACCAACTATAACAAAACAAAAAAAGACATTCAGAGAAGTCCCAGGAAAGTATGGGGGACAGGGGCAATCTATTTTGAGGTTTTAAAAGGTGTTTACATCTTTAAACTTATCATTTATACACAGATAACACTAAAAGTCAATGAAAAATGCTTCAGGTAGTTTTATTTACAACCTCTAATTCATCTATTATTTCCCCCAAAGAAACTTCAGACTGTGTTATGGACTGAATGTCACTAAACATTTTTTATCAAACATTCTGTTAAGTAATTTACAGATTGCAGTAAGTAGACAATGGAAGACAACTTTGAAAGAAATAAAAACTATTGCTATAGGCCATCTTAGCTCAGACTACCTTAATAAATATGTCTCTCAAATCCATGTTGAAGCCCAAATCACTAATGTTAGCTGTACTTGAAAATGTGACCTCTAAGGAAGTAATTAGTTAAGTGCAGTCATAAGGGTGGGGCCTTGATCCAATGGGATTAGTTTCCTTTTAAGAAGAAACACCAGAGAGCTTGATCTCTCTGTGTGCATGTACCAAGGAAATGCCATACGAGGGCACAGCAAGCAGGTGGCCATCTGCAGCTCAAGAGGAAAGCCCCCATTAAACACAGATTCTGCTGTCGCACTGAACTTGGACATCAAAGCCTGTAAAACTGTGAAAAAAATAAGTGTCTGCTGCTTAAGCTATCCCAACCATAGTATTTTATTAAGGTAGTCTGAGCTAAGATGGCCTATAGCAATAGTTTTTATTTCTTTCAAACTTGTTTTCCGTTGTCTACTTACTGCAACCTGTAAATTACTTAACAGAATGTTTGATAAAAAATGTTTAGTGACCAAAACCACTTCAAAAAATAACACAATATATTTTTCTTCTTTTTAAATAAAATGTTTCAGATATACAAAAAGTTATAATGAATGATAAATTAAAAACACCTATGTATCTAATGTCCAGTTTAAGAAATAAAATATTATAAATGAATTGAAACTCTCTGAACATATGTACTCATTTCATTCCTTTTCAGTGTTATTCCTATAAAAAGTTATACAATCATAAAAATACAGAAGTATGTTCTCTATGTTTTATACTTTATATAACTACTTAGAGGCTTACTTTCGTAAACAGTGAAGTGGGGACCAAAGTGAGGCCCAAACTTTACCTGTACAATGACTATTTGTACACCTAACACTGAAATGTACCCCACATCTTTAAAATAAAAATTTTCAAAAATGCTTACCTTTGTAACTTGTTCTTTTTTCACTCAGCTTATTTTTAAGATTAATCCACTAATTTGCTCTAGTTCTTGCCTTTAAATAATTGCATAGAGTCCCACTGTGGGCCACACTATAATTTTGTTGACAGATACTTATGTTGTGTACAGGTTTCCTGTTTTGGGATATTTTCCCCTTGTTATAATGAGGTTGCAATGAACATTCTCATACACGTTTCCTAGTGAATATGAACAAGAAATTTTCTATTGTGTATCAGCAAAAAGTAGAATTTCTGGGCTTTGGAATATACACATCTTTAAGATGACATTATTTTCCCGATAATTTATATGTGTTTACATTTCCACAGCAGGTCTGAAAGTTCCCATTATTTTATATCCTTGTCAAAATTTGATGTTATTACACTTGTAAATTTTTGCTAATTTCATGGGTATGAAATGATAAACCATTATGATTTAAATTTACATTTCCCTGAATATGAATGATGATGAGAATTTTTTTATAAGTTTACTGGGATTCCTCTTCTGTAAACTGCTGCTGAAATACAGGACCCAGTTTTTTACTGAGTTGTTTTCCTTTTAAAAATAGATTTGTAGCAGTAGAGTTACTTGTAGTACATGTTAATAAAATTATTTGCTTTTTTGGTTGGTTAATAAAATGGTTAGAATCCAAATACTTTTATTTAAAATAAGATTTTAGATAACATGGTAAATGTACAAATTCTGTAATTTTTGAAATTTGGGTCTCTGCAAATACTTTTAGATGTTTGCTTCTTCCAAAAGCTTTAGATTTAATCTTCCCAGTCTCGAATATTCAATGCCTTTTGTATGGAATAAATCCCAATTCCTACTTATTTTAATGAGGAATATTGGCCAGAATGACAATAGGCATAGCATATATTTGTCATTTTCTTCCCAATATCAGGGCTTGTTACTAAGCTATGTTTTAGAAACCCATTTCTATAGCAGCATAAAGGGTTAGTCATTTAGGCTAGATTTTTATGAAGAAACTAGGCAAAGAAATGCTGCCATTCAATGTGCAAAAAAAAATTGTTGTGGTTATATGAGAGGGACTCCCCCCAATTGGGGTTTATTTATAAAAAATTGTTCCAGGCCACAGAGGCAAGGACAGAGTGGCATCATGCTCCCAACTTCTGCCATAAACACCTCGAAACAGCCTTCTTAAATCCAAGGAGCTGCTAACAACATGAGCTTCAAAACATTCTACTCCTCAACGTGTCAATGCTGAACTCAGCTTTCAAAGCTCTTGATAAACTCCATCTGTGCTAACGGCCGCCTCTTCCACAGCTCTCAAATGTGCAGGTTGTTCTTGGAGCTCCTCGTCTTACTCCAAATTCCACTCAAAACCAGTGTTACTCCAGATCTCATGGTCTCTTCCTCCTCTGCATCACCACAGCACTGAAATGTCTATACCACATGATTTGTACAAAATGTATTCTGACTTTGTGCTTGAATTTTATTTCCTTCGGGGATTACAAGCTCTTGAAAGGCAAAGAAAGGTCATTTTTTTTCCCTTCTCCTAACTCCTCCAGTGTCTAGCTAAGCAGAGAGACAGTATGTGGCAGTTTTCAATTCCTATTCATTACCTGCCTAACATTAACAAACATCTTAAGCGCCCAGAAGCAGAGAGACACGACCATTGTCTTCCCTGTTTTTATAATACCCTTATTACTTAATATAGTACCTGATACATAGGTCCCTCAGTAAACAGGACCTGAACAAATGGATTTTTTTCTTAAGTGAAGGTAAAGAGGGGAGGGCTCAGATAGATGAGAAAGGAGGGAGACAAATGATTTTAGAGCAATGGTCCCCAACCTTTTTGGCATCAGAGACCAGTTTCAGAAGACAGTTCTTCCATATGGAGTGGAGGTACAGCAATCAAACCTCCGTGCTACTGTATGCTAATCAGTATTTGCTGCCACTCCCCAGCACTAGCATCACAGCCTCAGCTCCACCTCAGATCATCAGGCATTAGATTCACATAAGGAGCACACAATCTAGATCCCTTGCATGCACAGTTCACAACAGGGCTCGTGCTCCTATGAGAATCGAATGCCATCAATGATC